CCCCCCTCCCCCCTCCCACCCATGCGCTCCCAGACGGACCTCGCCCCGGCCGAGAGCCGCATTACAACCATGTTCGCCAAGGCCGCCGCCAACCAGCCCCTGCGCGCCACCCAGAATGGCGACGATCTGGTACGTGGATTTGATCGGTCCTCCGGCCCTCCAATGGGCCTGGCTTGCATCTGCGCCCTCCCTCCCTCGCCGCCCCTCCCGCACCGTGGGTCCCCTCTGACCGAAGGCGTCCCCCGCCGTAGGACATGGATCTCGCCTCGCTGGCGGACAATATCCGCAGCGAGGCCGCCGGCACCCGGGACGGCTCCTCGAAGCAGCAGCGGCCCGGGTCCGACACGTCGGCCTCCTTCACGGCCTTCGGCTCTGGGGCCGGGTATGCCCCATCGCCGTATCTGGCGCGGGCGCAGGCCGCGGCCGATGCCGATCGGCGTGTGGCCGCGCAGCGCGCCGCCGCCATCGCCGCCGCCACCATCGACAGCGATGACGAGGCGGCCCTGCTGGAGCTGGAAAGCGAAGTGGCCACGGCCATGCCCATGGCACCTGCTGGGCCGTCATCCCAGCCGGCCACCAGCCAGCTGTCCGGCTCCCTCCCGGATGCCAACCGCTTCCTGCGGGCAGAGCCGGCGGACGCCCCCCGGGCCGCCGTGGCCCCGGGGCCCGCCAGCCCGGGCTGGCTGCACTTCTACTGGCTGGACTGCATCGACCACGCGGGGGTCATCTACCTGTGCGGGAAGATCCGCCATGGTGGCACGGACCAGCGCCCGCAGTACCAGAGCTGCAGCATTGCCGTGCGCAATGTCGAGCGCAACCTGTTTTTCCTCCCCCGCACGGAGGATGGTGACGGTGCGCCCGCCGGTGAGCAGCAGCAGCAGCAGCGAGGCCTTCCTTTTCCTTTTGCCCCCCTTTTGCGTCTCCCCCTCCCCCCTCGCCCTGCCCTGCCCTTGGCCTCTTCGTCTGCGCACTGTCCCCTCTTCCGGCCTCTGACGTCCTTGACCCCCCATCTGCCCGGCAGATGGCCCCTCCTACAGCATGGAGGAGGTGGAGGCCGAGCTGGCCGACCTCTTTGCCCGGCATGGCATCCGCGAGTGGTCCTCCAAGCCGGTCCGCCGGAAGTACGGCTTCGAGCTGGAGCACATCCCGCGTGAGGCCGAATACTTGAAGGTGTCCTACTCGTTCACCGGTGCGCCGAGCTCGCGGGGCGCCTCGCCTCTTCTTTTCCTGTCTCTTGCCACCTTGCCGCGCCATTTGCCCGGCCCGGCTGCCCCCGGGGGGCTGGGCAGTAGGCGCCTTCCTTCGCCGCCTGCAGGCCTGACCATTTCCTCCATGCCCCCCCCCCCTCCCCCTTCCTCCCCCCGCCTCCTGTCTCTGGCCCGCCACCCTGCCCAGCCCCGACCCTGCCGGCCGACCTCAAGGGACGCACCTTCTCGCATGTCTTCGGCGCGGACACTCGCATCCAGGAGCGCTTCATCGTCAAGAACCGCCTCAAGGGCCCGAGCTGGCTGTGGATTTACGGCTGCGAGGCGACGCCGGCCGAGCGCTTCGTCACCTGGAGCCGGCACGAATATTCCCTCGACAACCCGAAGGGCATCCACGCCGGGGCCATGGCCGCCACGAACACCGGCACCGCCGAGGGCCCCACCACCGGGGCCACCCCGAGCGCACCGAATGCCAAGGTCTCCCCCCGGTGGGAACGTCACGGCTGGCCAGCCCCCCCGGCGGCGGCCAATGACCCGCCCCCGGGCCCCCCGCCGCTGGTGGTGGTCAGCATCAGCCTCAAGACGCTGGTCGACCGGACCGGCCGGGGGAAGGAGATCTTCGGGGTGACGCTGCGCGCGCACCAGCAGGTGTCGGCCGACGCGCCGACCCCCCTGGACGGGCCCATCGCCAGCAACTTCGACATTTTGTCGGTCTTCCGCCGAGTCGGCCAGGCGGCCGTGGCCGCCTGCCCGGGGATCGTGGCCCGGGCCTCGGAGAAGGACCTGCTGGAGTTTGTCCTGGAGAAGCTGGTGCACATCGATGTGGACGTCCTGCTGGGGCATGGGCTGCTGGGCAGTGGCTTTGGCGCGGGCCCCGGCGGCAGTGGCGGCACGCTGGAGACGCTGCTGCATCGGCTGCAGGCCACTCGGGCACGGGACTGGTCGCGTCTGGGCCGGCTCCGGCGCCGGGACTGGCCGCACACCTTCGGCAAGGGGGCCCTGAGCTCCTTCTACGAGCGCATGCTGACCGGTGGCCGGCTGCTGTGCGACACGCAGCTGGCCGCGCGGGATGCCCTGCGCGAGCAGTCCTACACCCTGGAGCACCTGCTTTCCAGCTACCTGGATCCCAAGGGCCAGTTGGGGACCTTCTTCGATTATGTCCCGGTGCCGGCCGACGAGGCGGAGGCCTACCTGGCCCGGGCGGCCTCGGTGTGGGACATCCACCAGCACAGCCTCTTCGAGGCGCACCTGGTGTTCATGCTGCTGTTCAAGCTCAGCTACCTGCCCCTGAGCCGGCAGCTGACCGCCATCGCCGGCAACCTGTGGAACAACACGCTGGCCGGCTCGCGCGCCGGGCGCAATGAGTACCTCCTGCTGCACACCTTCCATGGGCTGAAGTACATCGTGCCCGATCGGCAGGGCGGCCGGGGGAGCGGGTCGGCCGGGCCCGGCGGCCGGGGCAAGAAGCCCGGCCGGGCCCAGGCCCCTGCCCCGGTCATTTTCAATGCCGAGGATGAGGTGGAGGCGGTGGCCGCCTCGCTGGGCTCCCTGTCCGATGGCGAGGACAATGCCTCGGGCGATGAGGACGCCCGGGCGGGTGGCCGGTCGAAGGGGCCCGGTGGTGGGACCCACGCCGCGGCCAAGCGCAAGCGCGGCCCCACCTACCAGGGTGGCATGGTGCTCGAGCCGAAGATCGGCCTCTATGACACCATGATCCTGGTGCTGGACTTCAACTCCCTCTACCCGAGCATCATCCAGGAGTACAACATTTGCTTCACCACGGTGGACCGGTTTTCCGGGGGGGCCTCCCCCGGCACCGGTGCTGATGGCGAGACCACCACCGACACCAAGGCCCGGCATGCGTTGCCGCCGGTCCCGGCCGAGGGCACCCCCCGGGGCATTCTCCCGGACATCCTGGCCTCGCTGATTGCCCAGCGTGGGGCTGTCCGCCGGCAGATGAGGCGCCCGGGCCTCGGGCCGGTCGAGTACGACCAGCTGAACCTCCGGCAGCAGGCCCTCAAGCTGACGGCCAACTCCATGTACGGGTGTTTGGGGTTCGCGCATTCGCGGTTCTTTGCCCGGCCGCTGGCCATGCTGATCACGGCCAAGGGCCGTGACGTGCTCAACCAGACGGTGCAGCTGGTCGAGGCGGGGCAATCCTTCACGGTCGTCTACGGCGACACGGACTCGCTCATGATCAACACCCACTCGCATGAGTATGCCGCCGCCCGGCGGGCCGCCTCGGACATCATCCGCGAGGTGAACAAGGGCTTCCGCCACATCGAGCTGGACATGGACAACATCTTCGCGCGGCTGCTGCTGCTGCGCAAGAAGAAGTATGCCGCCCTGTCGGTGGTCCGGGCCCTGGAGGGGGGGCCGGCCGCGGCCAACACCCTGGCCGGGGCCGGCGGCATGCCCGGCTTCGAGACCAAGCTCGAGATCAAGGGCATCGACATGGTCCGGCGCGACTGGTGCATGCTGACGCGGCAGCTATCGCGCGATGTGCTGGACGTCATCTTCGGCTTGGATCCGGTGGCGCGGGCGGCCCTGCGAGCGGCCGGCGCCGGCGACCCGCTGGCCGCCACGGACGCCGCCCTGTCCTTCGCGCAGCGCGTGCTGGATGTGGTGCGCGCGCGGAATGCCGACATCCGGGCCGGCCGGGTGGACACCGCGCAGTTTGTCATCTACAAGACCCTGGTCCGGGCACCGGAGCAGTATGTCGACGCGCGGAACCACCCGCACGTCATGGTGGCCCTGCGCCAGCGCGCGCGCGGCATCAGCCAGCGCGCCAACGATGTCATCCCGTATGTCATCTGCACGCCGGAGTCGGTGGACATGCTGCAGGAGGCATCCGCCGGGGCGGGGCCGGCGGCCGGCGGGCCGGGGCCCACGACGGCCGGCACCGGCTTCGCGCGCTACGCCTTCCATCCGGACGAGGTGAGCCTCAGCAGCGGCGTGCTGCAGATCGACTTCGATTGGTACATCTCCCAGCAGATCTTCCCGCCGATCTCGCGGCTGTGTGCCCCGATCGGAGACCTGCACATGGGGCAGCTGGCCGAGTGTCTGGGGCTGGATGCGCGGCGCTTTGACCCCGCTCGCTCGGCCGGCGCCGGTGCCGGCGCCGGCGGCGGCTTCGGCTCGTCGTACTTCGGCCTGGCGAGTGACCCGGTGGCCGACACCCTGGCCGGTCTCTTCGGGTCGACCGACGCCGACCGCTTCAGCCAGTGTCCCCAGCTGTTCCTCTCGTGCGTGCACTGTCCCCGCGTTGGGCCCTTCCGGGGGGTTTTGCGCTTCGAGCCGATCGACCCGGCCGCCGCCGCCGCCGCCGCCGGACAGCGCGGCGCCGCTGGGGACCTGTCGCTGGCGTCGACGTCGGCCACCAATGCGCGCTTCCTCGTGCGCAATGGCTTCCGGTGTGGCGGCTGCCTGGCGATCTTCCCCCGGGCGGTGGTCTTCAATGGCGTGGTGCGCGCCATCCGCCGGGCCATTTCCCAGTACTATGAGGGCTGGAATGCGTGCGATGAGTGTGGCGCTCGGGGGCGCCACGTCCGCGGGGCCCCGGCCGTGGACCTGTCCGGCGCGGCCGGCGAGGCGCGCCGCTGCCGCGCGCTCAACGGCTGTGGCGGCTCCGGCACCCTGACCCCGGTGCTCTCGTCGACGGATCTCTACAACCAGCTGCACTACTTTGACTTCCTCTTTGATCGCGCCCGCATCATGGAGGCGGAAAAGCGCGCGCACCGGGTCTCCGAGCCCGGCGCCCTGGACATGACCGAGCTGTATGAGCTGGACGAGCCGGGTATGTTGGGTCATCTGCCCGCCTTTCCCGCCCCCTCCGCTCCTCCTCTTCTTTCTTCTCCTCCCCTCCATGCCACTTCCGCCCTTTTACACATGCGTCCGGCGGGGGCGGGGCGAGGGGGGGGGGGAGGTCGCCTTGCTGTCTGTGTGTGTGCGCGGATTTTTACTGACCCCTTCGGCTTGGCATCGGTCGGATACCTTCCTCCTGGGATCTTCCCTCCTCCATCCGTAGACACCATCGAGCTGATCCGATCTGTGCAAGCCGAGGTCCGCCGGTATCTGGAGCTCAATGCCCTGGGCTATGTGGACATGGGGTCGCTCTTCGGCGCCATGGGAGCCATGTCGTGACTCTGGCCCGCTGTGTGGGGGGCCCCGCTCGGCCCCCCGGCGCACGAGTAGCCGGCCGGCCGGCCGGCGAGGCGCCCCCCCCCCCCCCCCCCCCCACACACACACACACACCAAGCCAGCCCCCTGTGCCATGGACCTCGAGAGCAGGAGAAGTGCATGTGCCACAAGCGCCGGTCCAAAATAGATGTGAGACACACAGGGCAGGGAGCATGAAATGGCGGGCCATCGGGAAGGGGTCGCTATTCTATTGCCGAGCAGGGCGAGGAGGAGGGAGCTAGGCCGCCGGCGCATCTTCCCCTGGCAGGAGGTCCCGTTGGGCGAAGGTGTCCACCACGATGACGCTCAGGAGGGTGAGGTTTTCCACCACCGGGGCCAGGTCGCGCGCAGTTGACGGCCCCGCGGTGTGCTGGCGAACGAGCGCCCGACACAGGAGCAGCCCGGCCCCGGCCAGGCGACCAACCTGACGCACGGCCGACAGAACGTCCGAGTTCACTCCGAGAGCCTGATGCCGGGAGATATGTCGCTGAAGGTCGGCTGCCGGGATGCCGGCGCACCGCTGGCGCACCTCCGCCGTGGTAGTGGTGGTGGCGGTGAGCGTGGTGGCGGCCGTGGCGGCCGTGGCGACGGTGACACTTGCCGAGGGGAGTCCCTCCTCGAGTAGGTCGTCCAGGAAGTCCCCGGCTGCCAGGGACGGACCGGCCACCCGGGCCAGGACCAGGAAGAGCCACGGCGCGCACCGGGCCAGGCCCAGGACCAGGCGAAGAGCCGTGCGCATGTCCGGGCTCTCGGGCGAGAGGGCCTGGTCGAGCAGAGCCCCGGAGGCCAGGAGATCGGCCCCCGGGGCCATGGCCAGTGTATCGGCCAAGCGCTCCAGTGCCCCGGACGCCCCGGCATATGTGCCAACCGGCAGCGACCGGCACTCCAGCCCCGGGAGCAGCGCCACCTCCGGCAGCTGGCCCGATTGCCCGGGCGCCGCCTGGATGTCCTGCCAGAATGCGGACACAGGCTCGACAAAGAGTGGCGGGTGCTCCCACGGACTGGAGCCCGGGGGGCCACGCAGGCGCCCCCGCAGGCGAGCATACCGCCCGGCGAAGTACACCCGAAAGGGGATGCCAAGACCGGCGCGGAGGATCCGATCGGCATAGGCCCCCGGCCGATCGGGGCCGTCGGCCTCGGTCGGGCGCACGGCCGCCTCCAGGTCGGCCAGATGGGCCGCCGTGTCCGGCCGGGTGAACTGCAAATCGTGGCGGATGGCCGCACGTTGGGTGTGGTGCAGGCTTGCGGAGCCGGTGCGCGCGGGTGCCCCCGGGCGCCGGGGCGCCGCCGATCCCCCGCCGCTCACCTCGCCCGGTGTCCAAGTGGATGTCACATTGGCCACCACGACGCTCGGCATTTCGGACGCCTCGCGGCTGGCCCGGTCCCAGACCCACCCACAGGAGGTCAGCGAACGGAAATCCCCGGGCGGCATTCACGGCCAGCCACCCGCGAGGCAAGATCGGAGACTGGCACGCACCGAACCCGTTGGAGGTAGTCCTCGCCCGTCATCGGCGGGAGGCTGAGAGCCGAGTCGCCGGCATCGGCCGCGGCCTCCTCCCCGAGGGGAATAAAGGACACCGGCTCCAGATCAAAAAGAAAGGACCTTCGATGATCCATCGGTCGAGGGGGAGGGGGAGAAAAAGAGGGAGAGAGAGAGAGAGAGAGAGGAAGAGAGAACGGATGAAAGAAAGAAACACACGTAGATGCGAGTGAAAGGGCGAGGAGGGCGGGGAGCGCAGATGCAGGAAGTGTCTGCCCCGTTGGCCCGGCACCCGGGCCCCGAGCCGCCCCAACATGAAATACATCCACACCACGGTGGGGGGGGGGGGGGCAGATGAGGGAAAGATCGCCGACCCGGTGGTCCGTGGGCAGCTCTTTCTCTCTCCCTTTGAACGATCGGGCGGGGCGGAGATAGGGGAGTATATTTTGTGTGATACACACGCGCGCAGGCGTGCGGGCAGGCGTAGGAGCCTGTGTGATCGGGCGATTGCACCGGGGGGGGGGGGGCGTCCGCGTGCCCGTCGGGACAAGGACAGGGTTCGCAGTGGGGCGGGTCTCGACCGGCACCGCGCGCGCCTCCGCCGAAAGGCATGCACACCAGGCATTCCTGGGGCGACGGGAGAAGCCCGGCCAGGGGAGGACACAAGCAGGGGAGGGGAGAAAGGGAGAGGGAGAGAGAGAGAGGGAGAGGGAGAGGGAGAGGGAGAGAGAAAGGAGGGAGGGCCAAAGGGGCGGGATCTAATATTGAAGGAGGGGCCGCGACTCGTCGGACGAGTAGTTGCCCGAGGAGTTGCGCTGCGAGGCAAAGTTAGACACCTGCGTATAGGCAATCGAGGAGGACAGGCCGCCGGCCGCGTCATCCACCGAGGCAGACCACCGGCTCGAGCGAAGATAGGCACTCCCGGAGCCGGCCCCACCGGCATGGCCATCGTCATCGCCGTCATTGCCGAAGGAGTCGACATGCGACACGCCCAGATTCAGGGTCGAGCTGAAGCTGCGCGAAAGGCTGGCCCGGCCGAGGGCCGACTCCTCCGCCAGGCGGTCGACCTTGCCCACATGGGCCGACTCGACGGCCAGCTGCGAATCATGCGGCATGAACAGGGCCCGGTAGGCGCCGAAGGTGATGGCCGGCAGCAGGGCCGCCGTGATGGCCAGCGCCGAGACCAAGTGCGCATACGGGCTGGACAAGAGGTGCAGGACCGAGCCTGAAGGCATGGGCGCGCACGCACGGAGACGGAAAGGCCGCGGGGAAAGCCGGAACGGGCGGATGTTAGTGGCGCACAGCAAAGCGCAAGGCCCCGACACCAAGAGGAGGGAGGATGCCCCCGCGCCCCGGGGGACAATCGAACGGAGCAGCCCCCGCGGACGGACCTCCAAAAATGAACCCCAGCGCCGACACCGTGCAAATGGTCAGGTAATAGAGGACCAGGCTGAAGAAGAAGGCCCAGAAGATGGACAGGGTCCAGGACCGGACCCGGATGGCCAGGCGCATCAGGACCAGCGTGATGACCGTGGTGGAGGCCAGCACCGAGAGCGATCCGAAGTTGAGGTCGGCCCCGTCGAGCCAGTTCAATGACCCCAGGATGATCAGGTACACGAGGCCCGACTGGGCCAGGCCGTCGAACATCCACCGGCCCAGGCGCACCGCGCCGAAGTTGATCTTCTCATCACGCGGCTGCTGGTACAGCCGCGGCACCCGGAGCAGCACGCCCTCCTGGACATCGAAGTCGAAGAGGGCCTGGCACAGGGGCGGGAAGGACGAGTAGAACACATTGTACAAGGCCATGACGCGGTCGTTGAAGAGCGACACGCCGGACCAGCCACTGGGTGCGAGAGGCGAGGCGCCGGGGGGGGGGGGAGAGGGGGGAGAGGGTCAGCATTCGGCAAGCCGCACAGGACACGGGGCCAAGCAACAGCGAAGCCACAAGGCACAGAGATGAAGGGGGGGGGGGGAGGGGAGGGCAGAAAGGAGCGACAGCTCAGTACCTCTGGTAGCCCCACCAGAAGACCACAATGATGAATGCGGCATTCTTGTAGAAGGAGAAGGTCACCAGGTCGCCCATGCGCATGAGCGAGTACCGACCATGGATGATGACCAGCCGCGCCAGGTGCTGGAACTCCCCGAGGGTGTAGTCCGCGGCCCGGGCCGCTTGGGAGCCCTCGCGCCCGCGCAGGCCCACGCCCACGTGTGCCGCCTGCAGCATGGACACATCGTTGGCGCCATCACCGATGGACAGGGTGATAGACCCGGACTCACGGCGCACCAGATCCACCACCTCGGCCTTTTGTGCCGGGGACACCCGGCAGCAGATGACTGACCGAGCCAGATTGGCCGCCTGCAGGAAGTGCGCACTCAGCTCCGGATACTTGAGGATGTTCACGAGACTGGTCCCATCGACGACGATGGCTGCGGAGGTGTGTCCAGGCGAGATGGCGGGGGGAGCAGGGGCGGGGGGGGGGTGAGCCACAGAGACGGGGGCATACCGGATGAAGGGCGCGCGCGGGGGGCGATGGGCGGAATGAAGGCAGCAGAGGAGGACGAAGAGTGGAGGAGGGGGAAGGGGGGGGGGGGGGGGCGGGCAGGGCCATCATACGCACTGGTCGAGGGGGTCAGCTTGTCAAGAATGGCCACCAGCTTCAGGCGACAATCGGCCAGTGTGCGCGCGCCGCTGATGCGCACGACGTCGGCCGGCCCGGCAACGCCAGGGGCAGTGCCATTCCCAGGGGCGTTCTGCACCAGCCCGCACGACACGCCAACCGCAATGGACGTGGCCATCTTGTCGCCGGTCAGCAGCCAGAAGCGGATGTCCGCCGCAAGGAGCTGCTCGATGGTTTGGGCCACATTGTCTTGCAGGCGATCCTCCACCGCGGAGGACCCGAGGATCAGGAAATCCCGCTCGATCAGGGCGTACGCCCGGGTCAGGGCCGCGGCACGGCCACCCCCGAGAGGAGTCGTGCCGTCATCGGCCAGCCCGGCATCTGCGCCACCCGAGCCGACGATCATCTCGGCCGCCTGGTGCGCCTCGCTGAAAGTCTGGAACTCATCCGCCTAAAGTGGGGGGAGGGAGAGGGGGGGGGGGGGGGGGGGGGGGGGGCATGGGTCCGGGAAGATTGGTGCATGGTCAATGCAAATGTGATGGAGGCAAGGAAGGAACATGGAGGTGTAAAAGATGCAGTCAGCCAGTGAAGAGAGGGAGAGACGGAGAGAGGAGAGGGAACACGCACCGACAGCAGCCGATAGCCGAACACCAGTGTCCGCAGACCGGTCGACGCGAAGGCATCCACGAACCCCTGCGTCAGGGCCAGGCCCCGCGGGTGGTAGTCCAACGTGTCGAGGCTGGACTCCGGCACGCCGGCCTGCCCCGCGGCCGAAAGGCCAAAGATCACCGAGTCCGCACCCTTGGAGAAGATGAAGTACTCCCCGGTGGACTGGTCCTGGACGACGACAGACATGCGCTTACGCGCCGAGCTGAAGGGCAGGGTGTAGTGCAAAGTCCAGCGCTGGAAGCCACTGCGAAGCAGAGGCCGCAAGGGGGGGCAGGAGGGTCAGACACCGGGAGGGAGAAGGGAAGAGCAGGTGCACGAGGCTGAAGGATGGCAAGGGGGGGGGGGGGGCGAAAGCGACAGAGGGGCGGCATTCGTACTCGGGGAAGACATCGCTCGACACGACGCGCTCCTTTTCGGAGACCGTGAACAGACGGATGCCCTCCTGCGCCTGGAGGTGCGACAGGAGCGCCAGCTCATCCGGCGAATCGCCATCGTAGTTCAAGGGATGGGCATACTCCGGCGGAACGCGCGAAGCACTGGGCGGGCTTCCGACCACCAGCCCCAGGGGAGGCGCCATGTCAATCGACCCGCCCTCGGCCACCGAGGAGACCACCCCGGCACAGAGGGTCACCGCTTGGACAAAGCGCTGGGCGGCCGCCTGCTCGAAGGGTGTCCCCGAGAGGATGGCCGTACGGAGGAGGTCACGCGGCTGGGCGCTCGGCGACAGGACTGGCCACGAGCCAACTGGCGGTCAGACATCGAGGCAGGGGAGGAGGAAGACCAGAAAGCAGGGAGGGGAGGGAGGGGGGAGGGGCAGGGAAAAAAAAACGCGGACAGGGGAACGCACGGTCCCGCGAGGCGTCACTTGGCTGGTCATCGGCGGCAGTGCTGGCAGTGGCATCACCAAGCCCCGAGTCGCGGAGGTTGATCGGGTCCACGTATGTCCGTGCCCCGACCGACCAGCCATATACACGCATCAGGTTCTGCGTCAGGGTGCCGGTCTGCCAGGCACGGGGGGGAGGGGGGGGAGGAAGATCGACGGGGTGAGGAAAGGCGACCAGAGGCACAAGCAGGCAGGGCCCGAGAAAGCCGGCAAGCAGGGGAGCCAGTTGACAGGGAAAAGCGGCAGCAAGAAGGGAAGAAGGGGGGGGGGGGGAGGGGCGGGGAAGGCCAGTCGGCAACACACCTTGTCCGAAAAGATGTGCTGGATTTGGCCGAGATCCTCATTGAGATTGGAATTGTTGGCGCCCATGGGGATCATCTTCGGGGCCAGGCGATCCTGCGACGAGCTGGCCGACAGGGCGGGCGGCGAATCGAAGGGGTTGGCCCCGGTCCCGGCTAGCTCCGAGGACCGTGCCATGTCGCCGCCGCTGCCGCCGATCTCCGGCGACATCATCTGCTTGTCCCACTGCATGAAGAGCGCCTGGAAGAAGCGCACCACTTCCATGCTGACGAAGAGGGAGATCGGAACCAGGTAGGTCCACATGACAAAGTACGAGATCAGATGGTACACACCGACCGTGGAGTTGGTATCGGCCGCGGTCCAGTTCAGGTACCAGGCGGCCACACCGTGCTTCTTGTGCCAGATGGCCGACGAGGCGGCCGAGTAGGCCAGGATGATGAAGTTCAGCACGAAGATCGACAGGACCAACTGGTTGATGGTGGACTCCATGGTTGAGTGCTTCAGTTGCGGGGCGATGGTGTTGCGCATGATCTTGGTGTCGGCTCCGACGTAGACCACAGCGCCGTAGATCTGTATCCGGGAAGTGTTGTGTGAGATGTGTGAGCAGCGATGGGGAGGAAGGGCGACGAGGGACCAGAGAGACAGGAGGGGGGGGGAGGGGCGGTAGAAAGAAACAGCCGGGCGGCAAGGCGAAAGGTGGGCAAATGGAAGTGACACGCACCGCCTCGGTGTTCTTCAGAACCGCCCCACGCAGGGCCACATGCTCCGGGCCGAGACCCATCTGCAGGCCGACGCTTTGCTGGCGGACGATCCAGTCCAACTGCCCCTCGAAGTGATATTGGTGGGCGTTGGGCGCGTCGCAATCGATGCGCCCGTAATCTCGCCGTGCAGAACAAAGGATGTCCTATTCATGGACGGGGTATTAGTTGGATGAACCCCCAGGAGCAGGGCGACGATCAACAGGTGGACAGAGGAGATGGCGAAGGCCATTGACATACCGACTTGGTGGAGTCCTTGCCGACGGTCTCGCCTCGGAGGGCCGCCTGTCGGCGTTTGAGATTGGTCTCACCATCAAGCTGGGCCGTCTGGATGAAGCAGTGGCCCTCCTGTTGGGAGGCGGAGAGAGAGGGGGGGGGGGAGAGAGAGGCGGGAACAAATGGGACATCAAGTATGAGGGGCGCGAAAGGATGCGGAAAGGGAGGGGGGGAGAGGAGGAAAGGCCAAAGGGAGGGAAAAAAGGACAAGCCAAAGGGACAGAAAGAGACCAGGCGGATGGGTAGACGCGTACCACCGTATTTGAGGAAGCCAGGATGACAATGTCCGCTGGGATCGTCTCGTCGCGCTTGACCAGCACAATGTCTCCGGGACAAACGTCACGCGAGGCTACCATCTGGAAGCCCTCGGACATGTCGTCGTCCGGGCTAAGGTGCTGGCTCGAGAGGCTGCGTTTGCCTGTGGCGGCGACGCCGCTGCGGCGCACCCGCACCGGCAGCGAGTTGGACGCGCGGTCGGACCTACCGGGAGGAGGTGAGAAGAGGGACGAAGGTCAGAGATCAAAGCCCCACAGGGGGAAAGGGCCCCCATTGGTGGAGGAGGAGGGGTGGGAGACGAGGAGACCGAAGCGGGAAGAGGAAGAAAGGGAAACGCATGCCGACGCACGAGAAGCGCATCAGATCCTCAAATGCATCCTTGATCATGGTCACAATGACCACCATCAACAGGGGAAGAATCATCAGGCTGGGGCTGACCGGCGACGCCTCGGGCAGGGCCACAGACAGGAGCGACGCGAACAAGAAGTACAGGTTGTAGTACCGCTTGAACTGGGAGAAGAGGTTCAGCGGCAGGAACGTCAAGAAGGTGTACTTCGTGGTGCGGATGTAGTTGGACGGAGGCTTGGACGAGGAGGGGAAGGTCTACCGGGAGAGAGGGGGGGAGGGGGGGGGGGGGGGGACAGACGAGAGGTGAGCAAGTTGGGGCCACATGACAGGGGGGGGGGGCGTGCCGAAAAGCGACACGCACGGCATTGACCAGGACCGAGTAGGGAGGCGGGGTCGGGGTGGCCAGGTGGTCCTGCTCATCGGCCGTGAGGGCCTGGTCGTTGCCGGGGCCGCCATCGCCACCGATGTCACCGGAGTCATCGCCGGCCCCATTGTTGAGTGGCAGGATGGAGGTCACATAATCCCGGCCCTGGATCGAGCCGACCGAGGAGACAATCATTCCGGTGGCAGAATCGAGCAGCGGCGCGGTCGGGTCCACGTAGGGGCGAGCCGTCGGAGAGGCAGGAGAGGCAGACAGGGGAGCGGATGTGGGGAGACTGTCGTCGAAGAGATGTCCGGCATCCAGCTCGAAGGCGCGGTAGTCGGTGACGGGTTCCGAGTCGGCGTCGGGAGGGATCTCGAAGTCGATCTTCTTGCGCGAAAGCCGAACCATGTCGCGAGCCCAAGCAAGCAAGGGCAGGCGCGGGCGGGGCTAGGAGGGGAGGGCAGAAGAGTGACTGCGGGACCATGCCGGGGGGAGGGAGGAGGGGGGGGGGGG